CTGGCCTCCCCTGCGGCCGTTAGGGCCGGGCCTGGGGTCCTCCAGAGCCCTCACTCGCGCCCCCAGTTCACAGGGGCCCTGCAGCGGAGGCGGGAGGAGGCTGACGTCAAGATGCTGCTTCTCTGTCAAGGTCAGCACCACAGCGGTGCTGCTGGAAAAAGCCCTGCCACTGGAGGGCCCCGCGTTCAGGAAATGGCTAGGGAGGGAAGAGAAACCGGGAGAAAGGAGTCGGGGTAGTGATCTAGGAGGTGAGAGAAGGCCAGGGCCCGAGGCGCACCCAGGCCCGACCCTGTAGCACTCTGGATGGACCCCACCCGAGTGAGGGGACAGAAGGCAGCTCCAGGCACAGCTCCTTCTATGCCCTCCTGAGGGTCGGTTTCCCCCGTCGCCATCACGCACTGGTCTCCCTGCCACATATTTATTTTCCCAAACGGCCACCCTTGGCATGCCCGCCCTTTCCTGGCAGTCAAAAGGAAGCCAGACCTATAGAAGAGGACTTGGTTTTTGCTGTTGCTGCTGCTGCTGCAGTTGTTACCTGAGTTATTCTCAAGAACACCAGTATGGTGGCGCACACCTGGGAAACCATCACTGGGGAGGCTGTGTCCGTGGCTGATCGTTATAGACACAGATTAACCGACAGAAAAACGGGCGGCACGCATGTAAGACAGTCACCTCTCGGGGTGCCGTAGTGGGGAGGTGAGCCACATAGCAAGCTTGTAACCGTATAGAGTGACAGTGGAGTCACACTGATCAGAGCTGGACCGCAGAAGGCATCGGAGTTTGAAGTGGAGCCGGAAGAGAGAACGTTACCTGGTGAGGGAAAGACTGCAGGTTTGAAGGTGACTGAACCCTAGGCGTTTTAATTTGGGAAAAGTCAAAGGGAGAAAGGAGCAGGAATGTGGATAATATCCTCTGTCCCTGCCGCCTCCTGGAGGGCAGGACAGACCCCGCTGAGGACCAGGTTTCACGGAGCTGATGGGCCCGAGTGTGTAGTGCACAGAGAAGAGGGCGCAAGGTGGGAGGAGGCCTCTGACGGCAGAGGTGAAGAGGGGGCCGGGGCCTGGGGGCCTATGGCAGTGGGGTTACAGTTGGTGGGATAGGATTCAGGGTCAAGGACGGCATCAGAGTCAAGTCTACACGACTGTGAGGAGGAGGAATTTGGAAAACAGTGTGGGACTGACAGAAAGTTGACTGAGAAGGGACAAGAGAGCCTACAGTACGGAACTTTGGACTGATTGCCACTGTGCTGGATGAATGTGTTTAAATTTTGAGGCATTCAGAAGTCAAAGGTCCCATGTGGAGGTTATTGATCATTTATTAAACCATATTATGGAAGAAGATACATTGTTTTGGTTTTATGTATCCCCCTTCTAGAGGGAGATGTTTTAGGATGTTAAGGAGACCAGAAAGGTGAGTCGGTGAGTGGTCCGAAGTGCGAACTGGAATTGCACAGAGCGGAGCGGAGGGGTCTGTAGGCAGATAGAAGAGAACAGAGCAGAGACAGCAACCCCGTGTCTCCAAGTGTTCTCACTGTCGTGGTGGCTACCAGTGGGAGACCAGCGTCGCCTGCCTCCTGAAGGGCCAGGCCAAAGGGACAGCCCCCCAGGACAGAATGGCTAAGACCTGGTGCCAGGATGTTCAGGTGGACAGACAGGGTCAGAGACAGAGGCAAAGTCCTCCAGAGCAGAACTAAAGGCTCTGCTCAGGATGGCTGCCTGGACTGGAACAGGAGGCATGGCGTGTGGAGGGGCAGAGATGGCGAGAACCACCTTATGGATCAGTCACCTCACCAAGGCCTCACGGGCTTCACATATTAGGCTGGTTTAATACCAGAGATGACCAATGCGGCAGAAAGGTTTATTAGCATGACAAGGCCAGCAGAACATCCGGGGTCTGAAAGAGGCAGGACAGCAGCTGCGCTGTCTGAGGGAGAGGGTGGAGCCTGGGCGGGGAGTAGAATAATGGATGATCTTAGGGCCAAGGGAGGACCCGTAGTCCTTTGCCTGTTTGGTCCACAGACCTCATAAGCTCAGGATGTACAATCTGAGTGCAGCCTTCCCAAACTCCTCCCAACCTTATCACCCTGGTATCTCTGCCCACAGACACCTGGTCTGAGATTGGCTGGGGAGGTAGGAGGCAAGCAAAAGTGAAGCCTGGCATCGTAGGAGCAGGGGCCTCATCCCAACAACGACACACTGTGTTGTGTGGGTCTCCCGTGACAGCGCCCCCTCTGTTGAGATCACCCCGGAATTACTCAAATGGAATTACCTATGTCATAGATGAGTCCCTGGAGAGAGACACAGGTTAGAATATTAATCAAGATGATGAGACTCTCCCTAATTCTGTGCTGAGATACTCCAGGACACTTCAACAGAATCACGGGGCTGTATGAGACGTCTGACAGGCTTAC